TAGTAGTAGTAGTAGTAGTAGTAGTAGTAGTCGTAGTAGTAGTAGTAGTAGCAGTAGCAGTAGTAGTAGTATCAAATTCAGGGGGAGGAGGAGAAGGATGATGATCTGAAGGAGGAGGAGGCGGAGGACGAGGCGGAGTTGAAACAGGAGCAGGAGAAGGAGGAGGAGGAGGAGCTGACGCAGGAGGAGGAGGGGGAGGAGGAGGAGGAGCACCAGGAGGAGGAGGAAGCAGGAAAGCTCGGATCCTGGAGCCGCTCACACCTGAATCAGCGGTGGTGCGGGGCGCCTCAGGGTTTTGGTGCCGAGCCGCCCCGAGGACTCGAGCCCTCCGGCGCCTGCTTCGGCTCGATGGTCCACGGCTTCCTGGAGGGCGGCGACGTGGAGCAGGAGGGCTGGGCCCCTCCCAATGGTATTGTCGCGGAGGTTGCTAAGGGGGCAGGGGGGTTACCAGTGGATGCCAAGGTGGTTAGTATTTGGCCCAATCTTGTGTACAAGTGGGTCGCACATGCCCCGAGTAGCTCACTTAGCGGAGCTATCTAGCATCCCTAAGCCCCTTAGAGCGTTTGTAACCCGCTTATGCGCTTATGAGGCAGGCTGCCCCAGATCCTCTCAGCACCCCCCGCGCCTCATTCTGGAATGGGGAGAAGAAGTTGGTCTACAATCGTTCCGGTTGGACTTCGATTTTCTGGCTGGTGAGACCATATTCGATTCTGATATTCCAATGACCCGATGGTGCCCTCGATCTTCGAGGTTCGCTTGGGCCGATCGACTGAGTGGACGCGTGGGGGGATGGTTGTCTTGGCATTCCAGTGGACCCGCGTGCGTCGTCCGTTTCATGTGTTTGCTCTTTGAGCGAACCGGAAGAGGTGGGAGGGTGAGGAGGATGAGGGGGAGGACCGAGGATGACGGAGAAGGCTTCGGAGGACGAGGGAGTGGGGGGAAAACAAGATGATGACGAGTATGATGATGATGAAGATGATGGTGATGATGATGCGGAGGAGGATGATGATGATGATGACGATGAGTATGACGATGGTGATGATGATGTTGATGATGAGTATGATGATGCTGGTGCTGATGATGGGATTGATGATGATGATGCTGAAGATGATGACGATGCTGATGGTGATGATGGTGGTGGCGATGGTGGTTGTGGTTGTGGATGGGGATGATGAGTATGATTAGGATGATGATGATGATGATTAATGAGGATGATGGTCATACTGATTATGATGACGATGGCGATGGCGATGAGGGTAATGATGATGATGCAGGTGATGCTGCTGATGATGGCGATGCTGATCATGATGATGCTGCTGATGATGATTATGATGATTGTGATGTTCATGACGATGGTTGTGGTGGAGATGATGCTTCTGCTGATGATGATAAGCCTGATGCTGATGCTGATGCTCGTCGCGGTTGTGATGCTGATGCTGCTGATGACGACGACGAAGATGATCATGGTGGTGACGATGGTGATGGTGGTGTTAATAGTGATGGGTGATGGTGATAGTGATGGGTTGATGGCGCTGATGTTGCTGCTGATGATGCTGCCGATGATGATGATGATGATGATGATGATGATGATGATGATGATGGTGATGGCGATGCCGATCGTGATGGTGATGATGCAGACGATGATGCTGACGATGATGCTGATGATGATGCTGGTGCTGCTGCTGACGATGATGTTGATGATGACGGTGATAATGGCGGTGGTGAAGATGGTGGTGGTGATGTTTCTGATGATGTTGCTGGTGATGATGATGCTGATGATGGCGGTGGTGATGATGGTTGTGGTTATGGTTATGCTGGTGGTGCCGATGATGCTGATGCTGATGATGCTTATGGTGATGATGATGCTACTGATGATGGTGATGCTGATACTGTTGATGAGGGTGATGATTTGAATGAGGTTCATGGCGGTGGTGATGATGTGGATGATACTGATGGTGCTGATGATGATGCTGATGCTGATTCTGATTATGATGGCGATGAGTACAGTGATGGTGATTGTGATGATGGTGGTGATGATGATTGGGAGGATGATCATGAGGATGATGATGACGATGCTGATGATGATGCTGATGCTGATAATGATGATGGTGATGATGATGGTGATGGTTATGGTGACGATGATGGTTGGTCAACAGAGTCGGGGCTCAGGGGGAGAGCGGTTCGGGGGTAAGGGAGGGGAGCCCTCTGCCCGCGGCGAGCGCGTTCTGGCGCCGCTGTGCTCTGCCCGCACGTGCCGTGGCGGGTCACTGCCGCTCCGCACGGCGGCGCGCGATCGGCGGGGCGCGCCTCCGCCGATCAACAGTCGGCGAGCTCGGGACCTGGCATCGCTCGGACGTGTGCATGTTTCCTTCGGCGAGGGCCATCGAGGAGCATCCTTGATCACTTGGCGAACAAAACACGCACGAAATCGAAAAAAACAGGGAATGGACGTCCGAGCGATGGTGTGAGATCAGGGCAACTCGGGAAGGCGAACCTCGCGAATGGTGGCGCGCCCAGTTTCCCACCGAGGCGCCCGTAGTCGTCCTGCAGTACGTGGCGTCCGCATCCACAGGGTGAGACACTGCATAGTTCACAATGAGCTCGGGATGAGGGTAACTCGGGAGGGCGAAGCCTCGCGAGTGGTGGCGTGTCCAGTTTCCCAGAGGCGCCCGTAGTCGTCGTGCAGCACGTGGCGTCCGCAGCCACAGGGTGAGAAGCTGCATCTTTCACAATCAGCCCGCGCTCGAGATTCGAAGTGGCCATGGCAACGGCAGTCCCGTGAGCGAAATTGTTGACAAGGTGCGCAGGTCGATGAAGAGAACGTTCGCATCTACAGTGATGGCAGACTTCCCGTTGGCTGCTGTGACATGGTCCCCATTGTGAGCTTTGTCCGCATGGGCAGTGGAGGTAGCATCAAAGTCGATGGAAAGAGCCTAATCATCCACAGAGCTAGCATGCTTCACAGTACCCACAACCTCAAGAATCGAAGTGACTATGACTATCACAGTGGAGCTAGCGAAATTGTTGACAGTGAGCGCGGTACATCAACGACATACCCCACATTGCTAAGTTGCTGCAAGCGTAGGCGTCGGCGATGGCGTCGCGAATTCGCGGCAACGAATACCTTTTCGAATAAGACGAAATGTGCCTAAACCGCTACAATCGAATAAGACGACATTCGCCGCATGCGAATCCAGTGGCAACGAACACCTACCAAGTTTAGGACCTCGCGGTCCACGGGCGGTAGGTCCCCGAGCGTTCTAACAATCACTGCAGATGCCCCACAAGCCAGTCCGTCCATTCCTAAAGTTCTTTGGACTCCATGTAGCCTGGTGGTGCCGCTCCGCGTAGGTGACGTCGTCCCGTCCCTGCTCCGCGTCCCCTGGCTTCTCGCACGAGCTTCTTGATGGCTGTCATGTTAGTGCCGCCTACCTCGGGAGTGATGGCCAGCGCGTCCAGCATCGCCCCGAACAGGAGCGCGTGGGGTGGCCCAAGCGGCTGCGGTTCGGGGTTGTTATCCCTATCGACCCCTTCTGCGAAATTATCCTGCTCCTCTTTGGATCGCCATGATGACCTTGTCGTTCTTCGGGGAGATGAAGGTGTCGAGCAGCGCGCCCTCGATCGTCCTGCCCTTCAGCGTGTTGTTGAGCGCTTGCTTGAGCAGGAGCAGCAGTAGCTCGCGTAGACCTTTGTCCTTCACCTGGAGTTCCTTGGCCTTCCTGTCGCCCTGGCTGCGCCGCTTGCCCCCGCGTCCGGTCCTCGGCTGACCCGCCGCTGTAGCCGCCGCGCCCCGCTTGCCTCGTTCCGCGATGGAGCCGGAAATCCCAGACGCTGGCGAGGATGCCCGGAGGCGCCACGCTGCCCTCATCCTCTGCGCGAGTAGTAGCGAATACCTGAGTCCGTGGTCTGGCCGAACGGGCTACGCACGAAGCGGCAGCGGGTGTCGTTGCCCGTGGGCACAACCGTGGGCGTTTCTTCACAGGCCGCAGGTCACGCATTATCCACGGCTTGTTGGAAGAATGGATTGGTATTGGTACGTGGGAAAGCAAATGAAGCCAGAGCACCTCCACTGAGCCAAACGTTAACAGTAACAACGGCACTTTCGAGGTCGGTGGTGTCCGTCTCGGCGCACTCGGTTATGATCTAAGACGTCGTTTAGGAAGTGCTGATGCTGGTCGCAGTAGTTCGATGTAGGTCTCGCCCGGGGTCGCGGTCGCCTCGTCGGTCGCATGAGCCGGTGTCGTTCTGGTGCTCGGAGGTGCTGACGAACGACGCGTAGTTGTAGGTGCTGTAGTGCGTGCCGACGACGACGTGCGTGCTGCTGCCCCAGGAGGTCGTTCACTGTCGGTTTCGAGTTCAAGAGGAGGAGGATCCAGGTCAGGGGGTCCAGGAATCGGAAGAGCCTGAGGAGCGCTTGTGGCCGATGTGACCCGACAAATAAGGTATTCATTTTTTCGGGCGGCCTGTACTGCCACAGCTGTCGGGTGTTGGGCCGAATGCAATGTCGCCGCGCTGTCCAGCTTTTCAGTGCGTGCCGCGAGCAGTGGTTGCGGCTTCTGAAAAACAGTCTCGCACATCAAGCACTTATTTTCGACAGTGGCCGTGTTGAGAACGCTGCGCAACCGATGGCTCGGCTCCTTGCTGTGGGTCGGGTGTGTTCGAAGTGCCGAAAGAGAAGTGCAGGCGCGCCCGCATATCTCCTCGTTCTGCACCTGGATGTCGCACTTGACGTTCGCGACACCCTCCGCTCCGGTGACCTCAAGCTCCGTCTGGAACAGTGCCTCCAATGCTGTGCCGTGCGGGTGCCATGCACGAGACAAGAAACTTGCGCGTGGAGCTCGTGGATCCAATGCGGTGTGCATGTCACGTAGATCTTCATCTCCGAATAGTCGTCGCATGCTTCGGGGTTGCCAATGGTGTCGTAAGTCGGTGGCCAGGTCCAGCATGAGCAGCGTGATGATGTCGTCGCTGGTCTGACGCGCCCACGGGTGGATGGATTCCTCGCCTTTGATCTCGCCGTTCTCCTTCAGGATGGGGATGATGTTGTTCGACTTGTCCTCCACCACCAGGGTGCCGAAGAAGCCCGCGAGGAAGTGCATGTGCTGCTGGATCTCCGTCAAGATGTCTCTCCACTAGCAGAGTCGGCGCGCGGTGAGTTCCAGCGCAACAGGGGCTAGTCGCCAATATCGCCATACGTTCAGGGTGGGCCAAGATTTGCGTTTTCCATATCGTTCGGCATGAGCTCGCCCTTCCAGCATGGATCGCATCTTGCCAACCAAGCTCGCGTCGAGGGCTTGGATATCCGCCGTGGTGTAGAGATACCTCTCGCCGCCCAACGTAGCAGCGCTGTGAACGCATCCACCGAATGCAAGTCGTCGCGGTCGCCATCCAGATTCGGAATGCCAAAATCCGCTAAGCTGGTTCCACGATCTGCTCACGGCCAGCATCCGTCCACGACGCTCGGCCACGCTGCTGCCCGTCGCGGAGAACGCGCCGCCGAGGTGCTTGACTTCGAGGAGATCTCGCCCTCTTATGGTGGAGTCATGCTCCAGTGTGCGGGCAATGCCTCGGCGCGAAGCAGCTGCCGCGATCTCGGCCCTGCTGCGATTCTGCTTGCGCTCCCAGGCGTCGCCACTCTCGTCGAGGCACTCGGCATCGAGGTTGCTGATGTTGCGGATCTCGTCGGCGGCAGCCTCAGGGGGAATGGCCGGGATCTTCGGGAGGTCGTCGATGAAGAGGTCAACGCCGACGTCGACGGCGTCGCCAAGCATGTCGCAGTTCGCGAGGGTGCGCTTGGAGATCGAGCGGGTGAGTTCGTTGTGTTCGTCGATGTTGGCGCAGTAGTTCGCCGTGGAGACCTCGGGCTCTCGCCCGCGAGGCCACCGCAGCCAGCTCGGAGATGTAGCCAACGCTGAGGGGTGGCACCTCTCATGACGGCCTCGGTGCGGGGCTGGTTGGGGAACTAAATATTGGCGCGGGTGCGCGAATTGAGCTCGTCTGTCCCGCCATCCTGAACGTGGTAGTACCAGGCGCGATCGCCCGCGACGCGGCGGAGGTCGTCGCGCTTGCCACCTTGGAATGCCGATCGTTGATCGCATGTTTTTTGCAGCCGCTGTCCGTTTGCATGATTTGATTCTGTGTGCCACAATCCGCGATAAACGCATCATAGCTGCCCGTCGTCGTCTGCGAATGCCGCCGCATGCCCACTCGCGCGGGATGTAGGGGCCGCCCTCCGCGTTGACTACGTGTCGGTAGAAGCCCCGCCACCATGGGCAGAAGCTGAAGAATGGCCGTGGTCCTGGGGGCCTGCGATGGTCTTCTTCTTGTCGAGCGCGAAGGTTTGGCTCGTGTTCGCCTGTCCTGGCGCCCGCTCGGCGCGCGCGCCAGCGCGTAGATCTCGGTCGGCAGCTCGGCGGGCTTCCTGAAATGGTCAAGGGGGAGCTTGCGCTTGGAGGGGTCGATGGGCTTCTCGAAGCCCATGGGGTCGAAACCTGGAACAGGCCCAAGCCGGCGGTTTACGCAGCAGGCTATCTGAGGTAGGAGCGTTGGTGATGATAAGGAAAATCTCGGTGGGCAAGCTCCAGCACGGTGAAAACGTCCGCGTCTTCATCTCCCACAAGTGTTTGCGCGTGGTGTTGAAGTCCTCGCCGCCAGCCAAGATGTCCTGTGCGCTGACGTGCGCAACGGGTCCGTCAGGTCGTGGTGGCAGTTGGCTGCGGTCGCCGTAGTTGGTAACCGGCGGGGCCAACAGGGTCGTAGGTCTCGTCTCGCTCGGTCGCGTTGACGCCCCCGTCGCATCCAGGTGCCTGTAGCGCGGTGATCCACTTGTCAGCCGACGGCTGGCAGGATGGCAGTGAACGGAGGTCTCGTTTGCGAGCTCCGATGCCACGATGCGCGCGTCGTCGCGCTGCGCTGCGCATGTCTGCGAGTTGCCGCTGGGCCCGGCCTTCGCGAATCTGCTGCTGCAGGTTGCTGTCCTACTCCGTCCTGACGTGCAACTGGTGATGCGCTTGACCTCGCCGCCTGCTGCGCCGGGAGCGTCGCGGCGAAAAGCCGAGCGCTTGGAGGCGCCAAGCTGCTTGAGCAGGTCCAGTCTCCTCCTCGCGGCTTGTCTGCGCCAGTCTGGGCGTTCCTGACTAGCGGGGGAAATTCTCGAGGGCGACCTGCCTGGTCACGGCGACGAAGAGGTGCATGCAGCGGTCGGGGCAGGGGTCCGTGCGCACCTCTGCGAACTCGGCCTGGTGCTGCCCGAGAGTGTCGTGAAGGTCCTGGAGGAATGGCTCGCGGCGGTCACCATCCTGGAGGCGCTTGCATATCGTGGGCCAACTACAGCACGAATGGATCGCGCTGTCATGTCCAGGGCAAGGTCGGAGAAAATAACACATTATCGGCACGTGGCCGATGCTATATTTGCTCTTTCGCGCTCTTCTTGCGGAGGCCGCCCATCTTCTGTACGCGGCGTCGGCCATCAGCGAGGCGGGTGCGAATGTGTTGTAGTTGATCGTGGTTGCGCGGTGGTGACCGATGAAGGTGGCGCCGACCTTGCGGTGAGTATTGATCGCGCCCATGTCGTGCATGTGAGGCATCTCGCGCAAAGCCTTGCCGTTCTCGTTCTCGGAGACGTTACCGAATGGGCCAATGCAGGTGTCGGTGATTTGCTTGTTGCCGTGCATGCCCATGCCCGCGCTGGCGTCCGTGAGGATAATGGGAACGCGTCGGTAAGAACAACGGCGGAGTTGGTGGCCAATCCAATCTCGAAGTATCTGGCATCCTTTCCTCCAGCTCGTTCTTGCGCGCGCTGTGCGTGGGCGAGGTTCGAAGTAGGCGACAGTGGTGCGCAGAACCAGCGGGCCTTTGGTGATGTCGATCATGCCGCCTCGGCCCGCCACGATCGGCGGGGGCGCCTCGATGTTCGAGATGCCAGCGGCGCGCGCTCGCTCGCCCCGGATAACGCTGCAGCCCGCGCTCTTGTTGGTACAAGCCCCAGGTCGCCAAGGGAAGTGAACGGCCGTGTGGTAGATGGTGTTCTCGCGGATGTGAGCTGGTGTCGGGTCGTTTGTCGCGAAGGTTGCTGGGCGTCGTCTGCGCGCGACGCTGGTGTAGGCCAAAGACAGCTCTTGAAGACGAAGTGGTTGCAATCTGCCGACGTTATGTGTGAGGATCGGAAAGCGCTTCAGCAGCTGGATGGAGTTGGCGTTCATCACGCGAGAGGCGGCAGCGCAGCCCCACGGCACCAGCGGCAAGCCATGGCAGGCGCAATTTGGGAAGGGAGCGTTCGGATGCGCAAAGCCGTGACCCCCCGTCCTGGGGGCCCAGATGGTTTTGACGATTGTGGTGATGATGCTGCTGATGATGCTTTTGAGGATGATGGGAATGATGATGATGCTGATGATGATGATGAGGAGGAGGAGGAGGAGGAGGTGCAGGAGGAGGAGGAGGAAGAGGAGGAACAGGAGGTGGAGGAGGAGGCGGACGAGGAGGAGGACCATCGGGACCAGCTGGGAGCAATGACAAGAGCAGGAGGAAGTGCAGCAGCATGAGCTGTTAACTAGAGTAAGCCAACGATAACCCAAGTGTGCCGCAGAGTCGTTTCAAAACGACATTTGCGGGAAGGAGAGCGAGGTGTTGGGCGGAGGATGAGGAGGAGGAGGAGGAGGAGGAGGAGGAGGAGGAGGAGGAGGAGGAGGAGCAGGAGGAGGATCCCAACAGATTACTCCCCCTATCCCCTTAGCATCCCCGCGACGATCCAAGCTGGCTTTCGGACCATAGCTCGGCTCTTTGGCGGCCATTCGAAACGGCCCGGGCACGCCCAGCGCTCCCTCGGCGAGGCGCCGCCGGCCGGCACGCACCCCGATGCTGCAGAACCGCGGAGAACCCACGAACACGTCCGACAACGAGTGAAAACGAAAGACGGGGCTCTGCGGGAGGAGGAGGAGGAAGAGGAGGAGGAGGAGGAGGAGGAGGAGGAGCAGGAGCAGGAGCAGGAAGGAGGAGGAGGAGAGGATGAGGAGGAGAGGAGGGAGGAGGAGGAGGAGGAAGAGGAGGGAGGGAAGGAGGAGGAGAGGAGGAGGAGGAGGAGAGGAGGAGGAGGAGGAGGAGGAGGACGAGGACGAGGAGGACGAGGAGGAGGAGTCTGTGCGGATGCCGAGGGGGTGCGTGGGGCGGGGCGGGGCGTCGAGCGAGGCTCGCTGCCCCGCCCAGGCGGCGCACTGGAGCGAGCTCGCCGTGCGGCAGGGGCGCGTCCCCAGCGGCCCCTTCTGCCAGCAGCTGGCGATCCGCTTCCTTCGGGCGGGCAGGCCGGACTGGGGCGACGAGTGGCTCCAAGAGGGGGGGAAGGGAACCCAATATTGCTGCTCGACATGCTCCTCCTCCTCCTCCTCCTCCTCCTCTCCTCCTCTTACTCCTCCTTCTTTTCCCTCCTCCTCCTGCTCCTCCTCCTCTCTTCCTCCTCCTCCTCCTCCTCCGTCCTCGTCCGTCCTCCCCCTCATGCTCCCCCTCCTCCTCCTCCTCCTCCTCCTCCTCCTCCTCCTCTCCTCCTCCTCCTCCTCCCTGCTCCTGCTTCTCCTCCTCCTCCTCCTCCTCCTCCTCCTCCTCCTCCTCTTCCTCCTCCTCCTCCTCCTCCTAAGCTTCCTCTTCTCCTCCTCCTCCTCTCTCTCTTCCCCTCCCCCCTCCGTCTCCCCCTCATGCTCCTCCTCCTCCTCCTCCTCCTCCTCCTCCTCCTCCTCTTCCTTCTCCTCACTCGTCGCCATAGCTGGACACTCCTGGAAATCCGGGTCGGAATTCTAGACGCTTCGCGTAACCCACCAGTTGGTTGCATTTTGCATCGCCCGTCGGCCAGGTTTCGTGCCCTGCCCCGCTTCCTGGCACCACCTCGCGCAGCCCGGCAGCTTAGGTTCGGCCGTCGGTCCCCGTGCGCTAGGCAATTAGGCTCGCGCGTAGCCCGCCCGACCTCTGACGCTGATGGCGCGCTCGCCTGCGGCCGCGACGGAAAAAAATAACCCCACCAGCCAGCCAAAGGACTCCTGGATGCGTCTTTGAGTCTCTTCGGATGTCTTTCGAGAGCTTCTTGGAGTCATTTTGGGGCGTTTTGGGGGTCTGTTGGCAGTCTCAGGGACCTCTGCTGGCGTCTCGGGGCGTCTTGGGTGCCTCTGGGGGTCCTCTGGGGGCCTCTTGGGGGTGTCTCTTGGGCGCCTCTTGTGGGCATGTTGGGCCATCTTGGAGGAGATCGGTCACAGGAGGGGCCGTAGTAAAGTAGCGTTGCCCCGCACAGGATGCCAACATGTGGCCCGAACCTCGAAATTAAAGAATTGTTTGTGGCTTCTTTGCCGAGCCATCGCTTTAGACGCTTAACTGTTCGCGCCCCCCCCCTTCCAGGCCCAGGGGTAGAGGGTAGGGGGAGGGGTCAAGACACCCACCCGCTCGCAAGCCGTTTAGAGCCTAAGCATGTTCAGCGGTCGTCTTTGGATGGACAGCTAATGGGAACCAAAGCCGACCCCAGGTGCGCGACGTTTGGGCGATGTGCGCCCCGCGTGCCAGGGACACCACGCGCGCCAGACACCCCTGGGGCCCCAGCGTGCCAGGCACGCCTGGTGCGCCAGATGCGCCACGTGCTCCGAGTGTGCCACGTCTACCGCGCACTTCAGCCGCGCCAGGTGCGCCGCGTTCCGGGCACGTGCAGAGTGCGTCAGGTGCGCCTGCGCACGTGACAGCACACATTGTGAAAGTGTCGGCCCCCCCCCATCTTTGTCGAGATCCGATGCCCATAATTGTGTCTGCCGGGCCTGCGCACAGCAGACCACGCGCCACCTCCCCCGCCGTCCCTGTCCAAACCACTTGACAGTGATCGCAGAATGGCCGCGCATGATCCAGATTTAACCGCGAGGTGCATGTTGTATTGTAGGGGTGGTAGCCTTGCGCACAGCAGGGAATATGCTGACACAGCTGTCGTCCTGGTCAAACAAAATACGAAGTGCTCGCGGGCCTCACGAATATGACTCAAGACTTTGCCCCAAAGCGTACGTTGCATTGTTTCTTGACAGGGATGTTTGGGGGCGGGTGGTCATGTTGTCGGCATGGCGCCTGGTTGGCCCCCGGTCGCCTGGGGGAGGGGTGTATACTAATGAGGAGCAGTAATCAAGACGCCCTCCTCGCTCGCGAGCCCGCAAGCCGTCTCGCTCACTCCCACCCGCCCTCCCAACACACGAGTTGCAGCTGGGTTCGCAGCGTGTTCAGCAGTAGTCTTCGATGAACAGCTAATGGGAACCCAACCAGTCCTCATGTGCGCAACGCCGGGGTGAGGTGCGCCAGACGTGCCAGGCGCGCCGCGCTCGCCAGGTGCGCCAAGCACCCCTGTGGCCGAAACGTGCCGGGCACGCCTGCTGCTCAAGATGCGCCACGTGATCCATGTGTGCCGCTTGCTCGAGCCGCGCCAGGTGCGCCACTTTCGGGGCACGCGCAGAGTGTGCCAGGTGCGCCTGCGCACGTGGCAGGACACATCGTGAAACGTGTCGGCCCCCGCCACCCTTGTCGCAAACTAGAGCGCAATCGCAGTGGGGTGGCCATCATCGCGTCTGGTGGGCCTGCTCATAGCTGGCAATATGACGGCACCCCTGCCGTCCCAGTCAAAAGCCAATGCACAGTGATCGCGGGGTGCCCCCGCATGATCCAGATTTCATCTCGAAGTGCATGTTGTATTGCCTTGTGTCCAGGATTCTGGCCCTGCGCGCAGCAGGCAATTTCAAAAACAAGAAAATTACACTGCTCGCGCTGCCCCCCCGATCATGATCCAAGATGTTGCCCCAAAGTGGACTGCCTATTGCTTTTTGACAGGGGTGGTGGGGAGGGGCCATCATTGGCCCTGGTCGGCTGCCGGTCGCCTGGGGGAGGGGAGATTTATGCGTAGAGAGCAGTGATACACTTTACCCCCGGGGGGAAGAGGGACGACTGAAGAGGAAACTAAACCACTCACGCTCTGAAGGAGAGGTGGGATTCACTCCTGGAGAGGATAGAGGTTACCGGTGGATGCCGAGGGGGCTTCTGCGTGGGTCACGCATGCCCCAAGTGGCTCGGAGCGGTTAGATGATCCCGCTGCCCTGAGCCACTCACTCATAAGCTCGGCGAGACCAGGAATAGCCCACCTCGGCATCCACCCATGACCCCTCCGTCCCCTCCGACCCGCACGCCTCCGCGAGAGGTGTGCGCCCCGGAGGAGGAGGAGGAGGAGGAGGAGGAGGAGGAGGGCCAATCCCAGTATGGGTACCTCCCCGCCCCCCCCCCCAGGCTCCGCCGTGCGGCGGCGCCTGGTGCCGCCGTGCGCTGGGCGTACGACGCCCTGATCGCGGCCTGGGCCGACAGCGGGGGCACCCGGCAGGCCCCGAGGGGGGAAGAGCCCGATGCTTTGGAGGGCCTCCTCCTCCTCCTCCTCCTCCTCCTCCTCCTCCTCCTCCTCCTCCTCCTCCTCCTCCCCCTCCTCCTCCTCCTCCTCCTCCTCCTCCTCCTTCTCCTCCTCCTTCTCCTCCTCCTCCCTCCTTCTCCTCCCGGGTCGCCAGGGGGGTAACGGGTCCTGAGGGAAGCGGGGCCTCTGGGTTTTCGCTTTTTGGGGGTGCCACGGGCTCCGGGACTGTCATGAATCGGCTCGGGACGGAGGCCCCGGGGTCCAGGACCCGTTTCCCGCAGGACCCGTTTCCCGCATGTTCACCCCGGATGCGTGATTTGGTGTGCTCTGCAAGGTTCCCAAGGGACTCAGCAGATTGCGCTGTTAGGTCAGAGCAACGCGTGGAGGTGATATTAGTTTGAGAGACGCAGGGGGAGCGATTCGGCTCCTGACCCCAACCTTAGTCAGGCCAGATCGCCTTGCAGCGTTCCAGGACGTTCGAGAGCGTTCTGGAACGCTCTGGAAACTCCGGTATCGGGATAGACTTCTCCAGAACATTCCGAAACGCTCTCAGTCAAATAAGGGAGGCAACGGCAGAAGCATTAACGTTCGACGGTCCACGCGGATTTCTCGTATCTGCGCTCGACCACCCCTGGCAGCGCCCCTGGCGCCGCTCACTCCGCGCGGCAGGGAGGGGCCCAGCGCAGATTTAGGTCGAGCATGTCCCTCTACAGGAGGAATATTCAAAATAGACAAAGTATAGTCAGTGGACGATGTTTTGAATATTTGTTGTTATTTGATGTTTTCTTCAAACCCCGCCTGTGGGAGGACATGCCCGACCTAAGTGTAGACAGCGGAGCAAGAGGTCGTGATCATACATCGCTCCAGGAGTCCCAAGATCCCCACACTGGCTTCAGAAACTTCTCAGAAGGCGCGGCGGGACTCCTCAGAAGGCGCGGCGGGACTTCCCAGAAGGCGCGAGGGCTTCTGCGAAGTCCCGCCGACTTCTGAGAAGACTTCTGCTTCCCACTCCCCCCCCCTCGCTCGCCGCAAAAAAGAAGAGGAGACGAGGGCGATCCCTTGCCCTCCAAGCCCCGACCTCCGCCGATCTGGTGTTTCCAGCCGCGGCCCCGGATGTCCCGACCCCCTCCCCTGGGGCCAGCTTTTCGCCACGGATCCAGCCGTGGCGCAAATCGAACAAAAGCGCCCGAGTTGAAGGCGCAGCTGCTGGGAAGCGTCCCGAGGCGAGAGAACCTCCAGAAACCAACGAGAACCTCCAGAATCGAGTACTGGAGACCCATGCCAAGAAACCCCCTGCTTACCACAAGGGCAACCTGGGTTTGTTGGGTTTCGATGGTTTTGCGATGGGAAGCGTGACGTTCCCACGCCCAACATCGAGGGCCGCCCCGGTGTCTCAGGGTTGGGTTTCTTGTGGACGGTTTCTTGTGGACCGGCCTCCACGGCAAGAACGCCCAGATTGAAACACACGCGTCGCCGAGCCGCACTTTCCGTGCTGCCCTCCGAGGCCGCGACGTGGCTGGGCAGGATGCTGGCGCGCGGGCTGTGGCCGCGGCCCACCGCGTGGACGGCACTCCTCCTCGCCTGCGCCCGCGCGCGGCCGCCCCGGGCAGGCGAGGCGGAGCTCGTGCTGCGTCAGCTGGCCTCGGCCCGGCCAGCTGCCCCGCTGCGCCTGCCGTCTAGGGTGCAGGACCCGGTAGCTTTTGAGCTTTCTCGTCCTCGTCCTCGTCCTCGTCCTCGTCCTCCTCGTCCTCCTTTTTCTCCTCGTCCCCCTCCCCCTCCTCTTCCGCCTCCTCCTCCTCCTCCCCCTCCTCCTCCTATCCCCCTCCTCCCCCTCCTCCCCCTCCTCCTCCTCTCCTCCTCCTCCTCCTCCTCCTCCTCCTCCTCCTCCTCCTCCTCCTCCTCCTCCTCCTCCTCCTCCCCGAAGGCATGCTCAGAGGTGAGTACAGTCGGACCGAGGCCAGAAGAGCAGCCCTCAAGAGCACGAGGCCCTGCGTCGGCCAACACATACAGAACATCCGAGGGTACGCTCCGCGGGGTGCACACGAGCAGCCAACAACCACGAAAACCATCAGGCCTCCTCCTCCTCCTCCTCCTCCTCCTCCTCCTCCTCCTCTCCTCCTCCTCCTCCTCCTCCTCCCCCTCCTCCTTCAACTATTCCTCCTCCGCCTCCTCCTCCTCGTCCCCCCCCCGAGCCGACCTTGATCTTACACCTAGGTCCGACTGTACCCGGATGGGCGTGGGCGTTGCTGAGGAGATAGGGGGTATCAGTGAAGTATCAGTGGATGGCATGGCCAGTTAGATCTGGCCGCTCCTAGAGTATCAGTGGGTTGCACATGCCTTCATTGGCTTAGGCTGGTTCGCGATCCAGGGTCAGTGGGATCCGCCCACTCAGCGGAGTTGTCTAAGGCCCCCTAAGTCGTGTGGGGTGTGACCCATTTGTCATCGAGGACGCCGGCGGCGCATCACCGGCCGCTCCCTGGGAGTTTGTCGAAGTTGTGCGCAGCATCGAACGTCGTGACGCTCCAGGGGCCTCTTGGGGGCGTCCCAGGGGCTTCTTGGAGACCTCTTGGGGCCCTCTTGGGGCCTCTTGGGGCTCTCTTGGGGTTTGTTGGGGGCCTCCAGGGGGCCTCTTAGGGCCTCCTGGGGGCCTCTTGAGCCGAAAGCTCGAAATGTTCATTCGGGTTCCCCTTCTGGGCCTCCTCTTGGGGCCATCCTGGGGCCCCTCTTGGGCCGTCCCGGGGGCCTCTTGGGCGGTCTGGGGGCCCTCTTGGGCCGTCTTGGGGCCGTCTTGGGGGCCTGTTGGGCCGTCCTGGGGCGATCTTGGGGGCCTCTTGGACCGTCGTGGAGCGTGGGTAAGCCTCTTCGGCGGTCTTGGGGCCCTCTTGGGCCGTCTTGGGGCCGTCTTGGGGGCCTGTTGGGCCGTCCTGGGGCGATCTTGGGGGCCTCTTGGGCCGTCGTGGAGCGTGGGTAAGCCGAAATGGCGTGAACGTGAAAATCCTTCAAAAACCATTGAAAAATCAATGATTTTTGCTTCTCGGGGCTGTCTTGGGGGTGCTCTTGGAGCCCTCTTGGGCCGTCTTGGAGGCGTCTTGGGCCGTCTGGAGGCCATCTTGGGCGTCTTGGAGCGATCTGGAACCGTCTGGGGGCTCTCTTGGACTGCTCGGGACTCTCTTGGACCGGCTTGGGGCGTCCTTGGGTCGTCCCCGGGCCGTTTGAGACCTTGAAGGGGGCCGGCGGCAGAGTGGCGCCCCCTCGGAGGGACTTTCAGGAGGTTTTTGACCAGGCACTGGAGAAGGGGGCCGAAGACTGTGCCAGACACTGTGTCAGAGAGGTCTCGCACGGCCCAACCCGCCGGGCGGGAGCGGCCGGATCTGAAGCTTGCCGCCTCTGCCGCCGACCCCAGAAGCGCTGCATGCTCTGCTGAGTCATGCTGTACTCTCTGGCGGCGCGGGAAACTCGCGCTGGTGTTTGGTGCAGTGTGGGGGGGACTTGAACTCCACGCACGGACGGTCCAGGAGGTGGGGGGTGTCAGACACGGTGGAGACGCGGTGGGAGGCCCCGGCGCTTGCCCCCCAAACACCACACACAGGGGGGTCCAGGAGGCCGGGGGTGTCAGACGCGGTGGGGGGTCTCGGCGCCTGTTTTTGCAGGGTAGGGGCGTTATTTTTTTGCAGGGCGGGGGGAACGTAAAACACAACATACAGGGGGTTCAGGAGGCTGGGGGTGTCAGACGCAGTGGCAGTATGGTGGTCCCGGGTTTTGTTTTTGCAGGGTGGGAGATCCGTTTGCAGGCTGGGGAGTCTGTTAAACACCACACACAGGAAATCCAGGAGGCTTGGGGTGTCAGACGCGCTGGGGGGTCCTGGCGCATGTTTTTGCGGGGTGGAGGGGCCGTAAAACACCACGCGCAGGGAGACCAAGGAAGCTGGGGGCGTCAGACGCGGTGGGGAGTCCCGGCGCATGTTCGGGCAGCGTGGGGTGTCCTTAACACACCACGCACAAGGGGTCGAGGACGCTGGCGGTGTCAGACGCTGTGGGGGGTCCTGGAGCTTGTTCTTGCAGGGTGGGGGGTCGTAAAAACACCACACAAAGGGGGTCCTGGACGCTGGCGGTGTCAGACGCGGTGGTGGTCCCGGCGCTTGTTCTGCAGGGTGGTGGGGTTTTAAGACACCACGCACAGAGGCTCCAGGAGGCTGGGGGGGTCAGACGCGGTGGGGGGTCCCGGCGCCTGTTTTTGCAGGGTAGGGTTTTTTTTTTTACACTACACACAGAAGGTCCAGGAGGCTAGGCTGGGGGTGTCAGACGCGGTGGGGGGTCCTGGCGCCTGTTTTGCAGGGTGTCCAGGAAGCTGGGGCCACCCCCCCTTGGGACCCCCCCTCCGTCCAGGCTTCCCAGGGCAGCCCCCCCTGGGCCGCGGAACCCTGAGCCAGGCTTCCCAGGGCAGCCCCCCTGGGCCGCGGAACCCTTTATTTTCGTCGTGGCTCGTGGTGGTTCGTCCCCCTCGGCCTCCCTCCCTGAGCCTGAGCCCCAGCTCGCCTGGGCCACCCCCCCTTGGGCCCCCCTCCGTCCAGGCTTCCCAGGGCAGCCCCCCTGAGCCGCGGAGCCCTTTGTTTTCGTCGTGGCTCGTGGTGGTTCTCCCTGAGCCTGAGCTCCAGCTCCCCTGAGCCACCCACCCTTGGGAGCCTCCCTCGGTCCAGGCTTCCCAGCTCCACTGGGCCACCCCCCCTTGGGACCCCCCCTTCCGTCCAGCTTCCCAGGGCAGCCCCACTGGGCGCGGAACCCTTTTATTTTCGTCGTGGCTCGTGGTGGTTTAGTCCCCCTCGCCCCCCCCCCCTGAGCCTGAGCCCCAGCTCCCCTGGGCCACCCCGCCTTGGGCCCCCTTCTCCGTCCAGGCTTCCCAGGGCAGCCCCCCTGGGCCGCGGAACACTTTAGTTTCGTAGTGGCTCGTGGTGGTTCGTCCCCGTCGCCCCCCCCCCTGAGCCTGAGCCCCAGCTCCCTTGGGCCACCCCCCCTTGGGACCCCCCCGCTCCGTCCAGGCTCCCAAGGGCAGCCTCCCTGGGCCGCGGAACCTTTGTTATTCTCTTGCACAGCTGTGCCCTAGAGCTCGGACATATATTTTTTTCGTCGTGGTTCGTGGTGGTTCGTCCCCCTCGCCCCCCCCCTGAGCCTGAGCCCCAGCTCCCCCCTGGGCCACCCCCCCTTGGGATTATTTTCGTAGTGGCTCTCGTGGTGGTTCGTCCCCCTCGGCCCCCCCCCCTGAGCCTGACCCCAGCTCCCCTGGGCCACCCCCCTTGGGGCTTGCTCCGTCCAGGCTTCCCAGGACAGCCCCCCTGGGCCGCGCAATCCTTATTTTCGCGTCGGTTCGTGGTTCGTCGTGGTTCGTTCCCCTCGGCCCCTCCCCTGAGCCTGAGCCCCAGCTCCCCTGGGCCACCCACCCTTGGAGCTTGCTCCTCCGAGGCCCCCCTCCGTCCAGTGGGCCACCCCCCTTGGGACCCCCCCTCGTCCAGGCTTCCCAGGGCAGCCCCCCTGGGCCGCGAACCCTTTATTTTTGGTCGTGGCTCGTGGTGGTTCGCCCCCCTCGCACTGAGCCTGAGCCCCAGCTCCTTTGGGCCACCCCCCTTGGGACCCTCTCGCCGTCCAGGCTTCGGGCAGCCCCCCTGGGCCGCGGAACCCTTTATTTTCGTCATGGTTCGTGGCTCGTGGTGGTTCGTCCCCCTCGGCCCCCCCCTGAGCCTGAGCCCCAGCTCCCCTGGGCCACCCACCCTTGGAGCCTTCTCCGTCCAGGCTTCCCAGCTCCCCTGGGCCCCCCCTTCTTGGGACCCCCCCCTCCGTCCAGGCTTCCTAGGACAGCCCCACTGGGCCGCGGAACCATTCATTTTCGTCGTGGCTTGTTGTGGTTAGTCCCCCCGCGGCCCCCCCCCCCCTGAGCCTGAGCCCCAGCTTCTCTGAGCCACCCACCCTTGGGAGCCTTCCTCCGTCCAGGCTTCCCAGTGCAGCCCCCCTGTGCCGCTGAACCTTTTATTCTCTTGCACAGCTGTGCTCTAGAGCTCGGGCATCTGGATTTTCTTGCACAGCTGTGCTCTAGAGCTCGGGCCTCTTTATTTTCGCTCGTCGTCGTCGTTCGTTCGTCCGTCGTTCGTCCTCCCCCCACGGCCATAAAAGAAGTAAACTCCTGGGGGAAGGAAGCGAAAGGCTCCTGTCTCTCGCAGCTCCTTGGTGCAAGAGCCAGGGCACGCGTGCCACTTGTTCCCTATCTAGGTGGGTACAATTTGGCGGCGAGTTCAAGGCCATGGCAGTGGACGTAATATTGAGCGATCAGTTAACCGGGCATCCCTTCTGTGAGGCACTCGACGATCAACGGGAAGTTTTGCCTCGGGGGATGCAGGACGGAACAGGAGTCGACCACGACGGCGTCCGCGGACCTTTCGAAGAGAAGGAGCAGCAGAAGGAGGAGGAGCAGGAGGAGGAGGAGGAAGAAGAGGAGACGGAGGAAAAGCAGGAGGATGAGGAGGAGGGCGACCCGGGATCGGCGAAACGATGCCCGAGAACGCGCTGCGCGCCGTGCTGGGCGCCGAGCGCTTCACGGCGCTGGCGCGGGAGCTGGGCGTGCGCGCGGGGGGGCCAGGCGGCGCTGGGTCGCTTGGGCCCACAGGGCCAGAAAAAGGAGGGTGCCAGGGAGGCTGCCTGGATGTAGAGGAGAGAGGAAAGAGACGGGGGGAAACGAGAAGGGTGAGGCCTTCTCAGAAGGCGGCGGAACTTCTCAGAAGCCCTTGCGCCTTTGAGAAGTTCCGTCTGTCTTCGGGAAAGGCGTAGAACACTTCGCGCACCAGGCCCGGGGACTTCCGAACCTTCTGAGAAGGCATCCCCCTTCTCACTTCCCCCCGCTCGTTCTCCGCCGATTCCTGCTGGAGGGGGGCACCTATGGTCTTCGTGTCTGGTTTTCCACGTTGGAGTGTTCCTCGCTCCAAAGGAGGAGGAGGAGGAGGAGGAGGAGGAGGAGGAGGAGGAGGAGGAGGAGGAGGAGGAGGAGAGGAGGAGGAGGGAGGAGGAGGAAGGAGGAGGAGGAGGAGGAGGAGGAGGAAGGGGAGGAGGGGGGATGTACACGGGGCCTCGGGCCTCTCGGCGAGGGGGCTCCGGTTCGTGGCCCGCGCTCTTCTGGCCATGCTTCGACCGTGTACTCGCTGCCACGCGCAGAAAGGGGTACTCCAGATGTCGTAATCAAAGGGAGGGGGTCTGGACCCTCCAAGACAAGCCATTTCAGACCTCCCCCGTGGGAGAACCCTCCAAAACAGCGTCCCCAGACCCCCCAGGCCCTCCAAGATAGCTTTGAGGAGACCCCCCCCGAAATGAGACCCCCCTCCCTTTATTACGAAATCTTGAGTAGGGGGAGGGGGGGAAGGGCTTCTCAGAAGCACCCTTTCTTCTCAGAAGGCGCGGTCCTTGTCTACACATGTAAGGCTGGCGCCTTCTAAGAGCCAGCCTCCTTCTAAGAATAAGCCTTCCCTCCTCTGCCTACCCCCTTGTGCGCGCCGCCAAGATTCCCCTCTCCCCGTCAGCGCTTCACTAGACGGGTCGTGTCGCTTGTTCTTCAGCGCTTGAGGCGTGTGCTTGATTTCGTTGCTGAGTCTTTTAGCAAACAATGGGCGAGATTCAAGTTTGGCCCAAGTTTGCCACTGCGGCGCGCTTGGCCACGACGCAATGGAATGTCACAAGATGCAGACGTAAACAAGACCATCCCGTGTGAACGCCACATGGTGCTTTCAACGGGAGCAGCAACATACACTCACCACCTACTTGAACAGAGCAGCGCACCGATTTCGAACCTGTTCCATACATGATTCTAGAGGAAGTCGCGCACGAAACGCTCATTTTCCAATTGGTTCGAATCGAGGTCGAACCTGTTACGAACCTGCTTTTCGAGGAAATCCCGCACGAAACGATTACTTAATTCTATTGTTTCGCACCTGGTTCGAACCTGCTTTTCGAGGACATCCCGCGCGAAACGCTGACTGTTCTATTGATTCGAACCGAGTTCGACCCTGGTTCGAACCTGCTTTTCGAGGGAATCCCCCACGAAACGCTAACTTTATACTGTTTCGACCCGAGTTCGAACCTGATTCGAACTTGCTTTCTGAGGAAGTCCCACACGAAATGCTCACTTTTCTATTGTTTCGACCCGAGTTCGAACATGGTTCGAACTGCTTTCTGAGGAAGTCTCGCACGAAACGTTTATTTGTTATTGTTTCGAACCAGCTTCTGTTTTTCCGAACCGACTTCCGGTCTTGGTTCGGACCTTATTTTGGGGAAAGCTCCACGCGGTTTGCCGTTTTCGAGCCGCCCCCCCGCTTAGCTTTTTAAGTATCTAATGGGGGCTCAAACCCGCGGTGGCCCGCCCCCTGCTGGCACAGACTGTACCAGGCTCCGCACGTCTGACGGGCCACCTCGGGTCCACGTTACGCCAGCGTGTCAAACATTGGGCGATTTTCTACGACGGCACAGTATGTGTAGATGTACATGTATATGTATATGTATATGTATATGTATATGTATATGTATATATATATATATATATATATATAAATATATATATATATATATATATATATATATATATTTGGACCCCCCCCCAGATGATCATACAGATTCGTCTCTACGGCGGCCGCCGATCGATATCTCCGCTCTCCGTGTCCTCCTCCTCCACCGCCCCCTTCTCCTCCTCCTCTTCGGAATCAGCGAAATCGCGAAAACCACAGAAAAGCTTCGGAAAACAAAACAAATATAACAACTATCAATTCTGGAAACCTTGGCCGCCCCCCTCTCCCCAGAAGTCCTCCAGAAATCATAGTTTTTACTTTTTTTGGTTTTCTGCAGCACTTCTGCGACCTCCTCCTCATCCTCCCCCTCCTCCTTCCTCTTCCCCCAGTTCGCACAATGAGGATTCCCAAGGATTCCTTAGGGATTCCTCAAGATTCCCATGGCCTGCACTGCACAGGCCGCCTCCCATAGGCTTCCATAGGCCTCTCCCGATCAGCTTCATCCCATCGGCAAATTCTGGGAAATCCTCCTTGCCGCCAGCCCAGCCAAGGGTAATTGACGTTGCGCGCCAAATTCAACCCACATGCTCAAGCAGCAGGGCCGCGCACACCGGGAATAATAAGTTTGAGTTTTGGTTCTTCGTCGGCAACTTTTACCCTTTAATTTCAAGCCCCCAGCCGGCACCATAATAATATTGCATGTCGTAGTCAATGTGTATGACCATGTGGGGGGGCGAACATCGACGTATATGTTTATGTATGTGCATATGTACATAGATCTAGAGATATACTTTATCATATATAGTGTGTGGGTGTTTGTTGTTGTTGTCGCGCTTGGCATGACCGAAGCGCGCTTACAACAACTGCACCCCAGAAAGTGGGCGTCAAGACTGGCGGTAGCGTAATGTAATCAGTAAGCCAACAACGCAACGAACACGGACAGAACACAGGCAGGTGGGCCAGGGGCCGATTCCAATCTTGAGAACGTAACAGTATTGGCGCCCAGTGGACGCAGAAACAAAGACGTCCATACTGCAAACGAAGACGCAGCAGTCCCTGTGCGCCCAGTATGCCTCTTCGGAGCGTCGTGTCTCTCCCGCGGAGTGCCACCCGTGCACACGAACCCGCCGGCCAACGCATGCCGCTCGCACTTCGGCATGAGGGCGCGGGAGCCGACCGTCGAGGCACTCCTGGGCCACTCCCACGCAGCGGCCCTGCGGTTCTCTAAGGATGGTAGTGCGGCGGGGACGGAGGTACATTTTTATGAATGCGCGGCTGGAGGGCTGACGGGTCGGGTTGGCTTGTGCTGTTGGGCGGAATCGGCTCGGCATCCTTCCGGGGGCGGCAGAGAGGGGGGTGGGGACTGGGGGGGGTGGATACCATGGCGGGGGCCATGATATCCTCCCAGATTACTGGCGACTCTTTTTGTTTTACTGCGTCCCTGGCCCCCCCGCCGGGGCTGCGCACGTGCCGCCTGCCATGCTTTGCGCCCCCCCCCTCTTGTGCGCCCCCCTCTCGGCCGCCCCTGGTCCTTCAGAGTCAGGTCTCTCTGCGCTTCCGTTTTGGGCTTCCGGAGGGCTCCTGGAGCCTTCAGAGATTTGTAGGTTCCCCGAAACCTTTCTGCAGTGGAAACCTTTGCCAAGGCATACCCCGCTTACCTCCAGGTTCCGAAAGCGTGCCGCTCCCACACCAAAATCGAGGGACGTCCTGGGGTCTCAGGGTTGGGTTTCTTGTAGAAGGTTTGTTGTGGTCGAGCTCCGACTGTACCCTTCTTTCCGCTCTTTTCTTCTCCCCTCTTCCCATTCCTTGCTCAGAAGGAGTGGCAGAAGAGGTGTTCGAACTCCACAGGGCCCGAGGTAACAGGTAATGGGAAGGAGGAGGAGGAGGGCCTAACCCCTCTCATCATCTTTTTCCTCCTTCGCCTCACCTTCCTCACGGCGCCGACAGGTGTCCCCAGGATTTCCACGGAGGCCCCCGCGGCCTCCAGCGCTCCCCTCGCGAGGCCCAGAGGGCCCCAGGCACTCCAGAATGGAGCGAAAAACGGGATCGGCGCGGGGGGTGCTGAGGGAACAGGGGGGTTCTCGGTGGATCCCGCGGTGAGTGATCTCTGGCATCATCTAGCTTATGACTGAGTCGCAAGTGCCCCAAGTGGCCTAGGGAGGCGAAGTGGGCGAAGCCCACTTTGCCCAGATCGTTAAATTCCCGAAGTGAGTCACCCAGGGCATTTGTAGCCCACTTGTAAAGTAAGGTTTGGCCAGGTGTAACCACCCACCTTGGCATCCCCTTACAAACTCCCAGTCCCCTCGGCCCCCCCCGCGCCGATCCCAGAACTCGAGCAGGGTATCGACTGCAACACTGAGGCACCCCGACATGGATGCTCGTCGAGTGCACAACGATACGTACAGGATGCGCAGATCTACGAGCAGTATACGCACATCAAGCCCGGGGAACATCACTGCTGTAGTCGACCCCCCACCCGAAGAAGGAACACCTCGTGCAGCCCCATTTCGGGCGTGAGGGCCACGTCTGCCGACGACGCGGGGCCGCGGCGGGCCCGCGGGAGGCCGTGGAGCTCAGCACAGGCCCTCGGCCTTCGGCCCTCGCCTCCTCGAGCAGAAGCCCTCCTCGAGCAGGCATCCTCCTCGACCCTCGACCCCCCTCGACCCTCGACCCTCGACCCTCGAGCCTCCTCGGCGCAGGGTCCTCGATCCCCGAGCCACAGGATCCTCCTCGAACAAGCTCCGCCCCCCCCCCTCGCCGACAGCCCCGAGGCTCAATTTTGGGTTGCTCCCTCCCGCGGCCAGGCCGCCCCGAATCCGCGGCCCCAGGACCGCCGCCCTCGCCCGCCGCCACCCTCGCGCGCAGACCCCCCGAAGGAGAGGGGCGCGCGCGCGCGCGCAAGCGCAAGGGCGCCAGGCAGGGCACCCCGAGCACCAGCCTCCTCCTGCTCCTGCTGCTCCTCCTCCTCCTGCTCCTCCTCCTCCTCCTCCTCCTCCTCCTCCTCCTGCTCCTCCTCGTCGTCCTCCTCCTGCTGCTCCTCCTCCTGCTCCTCCTCCTCCTCCTCCTCTCCCTCCTCCTTCCTGCTCCTCCTCCTCGTCGTCCTCCTCCTCCTCCTCCTCCTGCTCCTCCTCCTCCTGCTCCTCCTCCTCGTCGTCCTCCTCCTACTCCTCCTCCTCCTCCTCCTCCTCCTCCTCCTCCCATTCCCCTTCCTCGGCGCAGCAGCAGTCGGACCGATGACTGCGGCCGAAGAGCGCTCGCCGAGGGGCGGGCCGAGGGGCCCGCCCCTCGGGGCGGAGAGCAGGGCGGGCGCCCTGCCCCGCGCGCGCCGGGCGCGGAGGGGCGGCGCGTCGCGCGGGCGGGGCCGCACCGAGCGACCGCCGCTGGGGCCCAGGCCTTCCAGATATCACCACCCACCAAACCACCCCAACCCAACCCGAAGGTCCAAATATATCCTCGGTTTCCAGTGGGGGGTGTCGGGGAACGTTGGAAAAACACAAGGAACCCGTACCCCTCCCCCAACCCGAAGTTCGGGTCAAATTCGGGTCTTCGGGTTGGGATGGGGTGGTTTGGTAGGTAGTCAAGATAGGGTCAGAGCAGATGGGGTCGAAGGGTCGCGCCGCAACCAGGGGAACAACAGGTGGCATCAGCATGAAAGCTCGGAGGTCCGCGCGGATTTCTCGGATCGGCGCTGGGCCCCCCTCCCTGGCGCGCGGAGCGCGCCAGGGGCGGCGCCGGAGGCGCCGCCAGGGGGGCCCCAGCGCCGATCCGAGAAATCCGCACGGACCTCCGATTTTTTTATGTTTATGTCACTCTTTGTTCCCCTAGCATCGCCGACGCATCGGCGATGCGGCCCGATGTGGAGCCCGGTGTTCTCCCTGCCGACGGCGCCGATGTACCGCCGACGTCGCCAGAGCATCGCTCACGCATCGGCGATGCATCGCCTATGCATCAGCGATGCGGCGCGGTCCTCCCGGGAAGGGCGCCTTCGAGGGCGCGAAGTTATTCGCGCTTCGCGGTTCGGCTCTGGTTCCTCTTCGTCCTCCCTTTCTCCTTTGGGGGGCGGCGCGGGAACGCAAGGTTATTCACGCTTCGCGCAGCACGAAGCGCGAAATTAGGCGCCCTAGGAGAGATAGAGGGGGTGGTGCGAGGGTAAGAAGAAACAACGGCATAAACATAAACGCTCGGAGTTCAGAGCGAATTTTTTGGATCGGCGTTGGCCCCACCTGCGGCGCCTTCGGCGCCACCACCGTCGCGCGGAGCGCGCCAGGGGGGGGGGGTCGCAGGATAGCCGTGCCGACCGAAAGTGTATATTGTGTACAGCCTGTGTTCTGATCTTTCTTCTTAGTACTCTGATTATCACTCTTCTTTCTCTTCTGGATGGGAGGGGCCTAAGGAGGCAGGGTCGCTCTCACAAAGCAGGGGCCTCGTGCTCTGCGCCGCCACTGCGCTGTGTACGTGAGCGCGTGCTTCAGAAGTCACGCATGCTGCAGGCCAGGCCTGCACCCCGAGGGCAAGGCGAAGAGGGTGCATACGCAAGCGCGCCAGAGATGGAGCGAGCAGAGCGAGCGGACGGGGAATGCGAGGACGAGGAGCTGGAGGAGGACGATGAGCAGGAGAAGCAGAAGGGGAGGAGAAGGAACACTGCGAGGAGGATGATGATGAGGAGGAGGAGGAGGAGGAGGAGGAGGAGGAGGAGGAGGAACATTGCGGAGAGAGCGAGGTCGACGAGCACGAGGAGGAATTCGAGGAATCGAGGGAGGAGCACCGCGAGCAGGAGGAGCAGCAGGAGGAGGGACGAGACAATCGGGAGTGCGATGAGGAGATAGAGGAGGAGGAGGAGGACGAGGAGGAGGAGGAGACAGGAAGCTCCGAGGAGGAATGGCACTGGCAGGACGAGGAGGATCCGTAGGAGGGGCCGCCTCCTGACCTCTGCTCAGGGGCAGTGACAGGGGGGTCGGCGGCTCGGGGGGGGGGCGGCTGACTCGGAAACTGGAGCATAGACCTTGCCAGTGGCGGGCTGCTCTTCAATCCCAGGACTTTCTTGGAGGGTCGGGGACGACGTCGGGGTGATGTGGTGTCTGCTTGTTTCCCCGGGTTCCTGGGGAAGCAACGTGCATGCATACACCAGCATCCCGTGTACACCAGGATCCGCTTTGCTGTGCGAACCTCAGTACGGGACCAGAAACAAAGCGTCGGTGTCTGTGTGTATGTGTAAACATATATATATATATATATATATATATGTGTGTATAGAGAGAAAGAGAGAGAGAGAGAGAGAGAGAGTTCGGCTCCTTCCCCCCCCCACACCCAGGAGAAGTGCGGTTTCGCCGTCGGGGGCCCCGTCGCCGACCTGTCGGCGATGCATCGTCGATTCCGGGCCAGTCCTGAGCCAGCCCCCCACCCTCGGCTCCCCTCGGGAGCTGCGCGCGGGCGGAGCCTCGGAGGAGGGCCAGTCGAGACAGCGGCGGGCGGGCTCTCCCCGGGCGGCGCTTGCCCTGTCCAGGGCCTCGCGGGAGGGCCCCTCGGCGCCGCGGCCGGGCCCGCCGGGAGGAGCGGGCCGGACTGGGCCCAGGGTTCTCAAGTCGGGCCCGTCCCGCAGACCTGGAGATTGACACCACCACCAAGATCGGCGGTGTGCCTCCACCCAGGGAGGAAGATCCCGATCTCGGTGATGGTGATGGTGGTAGCGTTCTGGCTTCCCGGGTGACCGAAGCAGGACCACCGACACCGAAATCTAGGATCATCCTTCCCCCTGTGGAGGCAGCCCCCCGTGTTGGTGTTGGTGCCCATCTCGAGGCCTCCGACTGTCCCCCTCGTTTTTTGACTAGTTTTCACTTCTCTTCCGAAATCCGCCTGCCTGGCCTCAGCCCAGGGAGGGGTCCCCAGGCCGAGCTCGAGCGGCTCTGGGCCGGGCGGGAGGGCCGCCGCTGTCTCCGTGGGCCGTGCTCCCGAAGAGGGGGGGAGGATCGGATGGTACAGGGAGCCCGCAGAGGAAGGGTGGGCAGCTTTCCCGAGGGGCACCCCTGGCATCTTTGCCTCCTCCAGAGCGTGAATTACCTACCCCGCTTTTGCTTCCAGGCAAAAGCAAGTCATACCGCGCGCCTCCTCGTCAAGCGGCCTGACCAGTACAGGCTGGCCGTAGTATGGCATCGCTTGGTATCTCTTGGAAGCGAGGGTGGTCGAAAGCGAGGTAGGTTTGTTTGCCCCCTACTCCTCGGTCCACCCTTGGCCACTTTCGTGGACCGCGCCCCGCTCGAAAAGCTTCGAGGTGGTTCTCCGAGGCCCCTGCATCCTTATCGTGCGTACCCATGACACGGGCTGACTGTAGCCAGGACCTCGGGCAAGGGGAGCCGGTTAGTGATTGGGCCCCGCAGCCCCAAACATTACCATAATCACTAGACCAAGCCTGCCGTACGGTAGATTTGCGTCGTGTCCACCAGCGGCACCCCCAGCGCGGGCGTTCAAGTTTGAACGCCACCTGTGGCCCAGAATCGGCCCATCGATGAACGATTCGGTGTTTCTGAAACGGCCGATCGTTCAAGTTTGAAGGATCCCCGCTGTGTCAAGAACCAATGCTTGGGTCGACACGATGCGAATCTGCCGTAACCCGAAGGGTCTTTAATCAATTCCGGGGAATGCTGGGAAACTAATCCAGTTTTCCGTAGGCATATTGACGGATTGGGACCCCAACCATAATCAGAAGATAATTGTTCCCCCGCGGCGGACACCGCACAGGCCTCAGCGGGAGCGTGAGTCTTTCTTCAAACTTGAGCATGGAGAGTTGAGCTCGATAGTGCCCCACCTGCTTCTGCGGTGTCCCCACATGCTTCTGGTCGTGGACGACGAAGACAGGCTTCTCAGGAGGAGCAGGAGGAAGCAGGAGGAGGGAGGGGAGGAGGAGGGACGAGCTTCTAGTTCCCGCCGAGAGCTTAGGGGGGGGGATTCTCAGCGTTGAAGACCCTTCGCGGTTAGCTGGTGCTTCCCCGGGTGCTAGCAGCTCCAGTCAGTGTCATGGGGCGGGGTGGGGAGGGGCGCCCCCGGTACGCGTCGCTCAACCAGTCCCACTGAGACCAGCCCCGTCAACGTCCGAGAGGAGGGCCACCGCTGAGGCCCCCCACCATCCACGGTGGTAGATCGAGCGGCGATCCATGCCACCGCTGAGGCCCCCCCCCCTCGAGGCGGGATGGACGACAGAAGTGATTTGCCCCAAGCTTGATTTGTTCGTCGAATGTACGGAAGCGGTGATCATGCTAGTGGATCTGCGAGCACTGCACGTGCTTGCTGTACAGTCGACGAGACAACCAGTCTCGGGATACATCAGTTCTGTAGTCGATCCCATACTCGACCCCTTAGGGCGGCGCAGGGTGGGGCCTGGAGGAAGGTCCTGTGCTTCGGAGGCCGACCTCTGTCTCCACCCCACCCTCCTCGGCCCACTGTCGGCCGCGCGCAGAGGGGTGCACGGTCGCACGGAGGCATATCAGATCCAGATCGCCTCGGGGAGGGCACCTTTTGGTGCTCTTCGTGCCTGCGGGAGGCCCCCGTGCCTCCTGGGGAGGGCCAGCCTCGGATGCTCTGTGTGTGTGTGTGTCCTGGGCCGGCGGAGGACGCTCTCGTCTGTCCCGGGTCCGACCGTGCGGACCGAGCGTCGGCCCAGGGCCACCGCGGAGGCCCCCCCCCCTCCAGGCGCCGCCGGGCGGGTCCCGCGGGGAGGGGCCCCGCGCGTCGGGCCTCGGGGCGTCAACGAGCCGGGGGGTCCCAGGCCAGCGCGGGTCGGCCTGCGCGCCGCATGCGGCAGGATCCTGCAGGGCCGGGGGCGCACTGGCCGGAGCTCGGGCGCAGGATCCTGCAGGATCCTGCAGGATCCTGCAGAGGCTGAGGCACGGAGGGAGGTCCTGCGCTTCGGAGAGTCCGACTTTTTCGTCACGATCGAAAAAGGTACGGAAAGAAGGGGTACAGAGTCCGAGGCTGGAATTTATGCATGACCACCGCCTGGACGATAAATTCTCGGGTGCCTCGGCAGGTGGTGGATATGGATAGATTCGGGCCCCTGGGGGCCAAAATATGTCCATCTCCACCGCCCGCTGGGGCACCAGGACGTCGGCTCCCAGGCGAAGGATATGGATAAGAGGCCGACAGCAGTTTCTGTTCATTTGCAACAGGACTCGCTGTCCGCGCCGCCAGGCCACGAAAGTTGTTCTTCGAGACAGAAAGCCGCCTGCCCAACAGCGGCCGTTGTTGGTTTGGGACCAAGTTGTTGTTGGGCATCGTGCCAATGTTTTCTGTACCCATTTCGGTTAGTTTTTCCATCCCACTCAGCCCAGTGTCGGCCGCGCGCAGAGGGGGTATAGGGGGATGGGGGATGGCTTCTTAAAAGCAGCCCTGGTTCTTACAATGGGCGGGCCTTATATTTATATATATATATAGAGAGAGAGAGAGAGATGTGAGCCCGGCGCCTTCTAAGAAGAAGCGTCCTTCAAAGTAGGCCTCCCCCCGGCACCCCTTGCGCGCGCCGCCAGCATCCCCCCTTCACCAGCCCACTGGGTCATCTTGGCAGGAGCAGGAACAATGATGGAGAAACTGCCGATCGCCTATTTCCGGGGACGGCGTGGTCGGATGTGGATGGGCGAGCGAGATCTGTGATATTTGGCCTTCAGCCCATGCCACCACCGTGCCTGGGTCGTGGAGCAGGGGGACATGTTGTCAAGGCGCAGTCTTGCTCCGGGCGCACTTGGCAGATGGCCAGTAGACAAGCACGCGCGTGGATGCGCGAACGTACGCAGACGTAACGCGAAGGCATAGGTGCACATGTCATAGCCGTGCGTTGCCATCCACAGATGAGTGTAAGTTCGGCCGAATTGGTTTCCGGAATGTGATCGATCTTCCAGAGGAGATTACGTTTGCGCTGCCACCAATTACGGGCGTTGTTTCAACGATATGGCCTATTCAAGTATCTGCAGGGCATGCTGGGCGCTACATATTGCATCGGTGAGTTTGCTCTACGCTGACACAGCGTCATGTACGTCGGCGCGCGTTTCAGAAATCGTAAATGCTGCCAGCGAGGTCCGGGATGTTGGCAGCGGAAGCTCGCATCAAGTTCCAGACTGGGTCTCATACTTTTTTCCGACGGCTCCGTCAGGCCAACCCGAGGAGGAGGAGGAGGAGGAGGAGGAGGAGGAGCAAAGGGGGCGAGAGACGGGGGGGACGTGGGAGGAGGGAGCAGAGATGAAGGAGGAAGGATGAGGAGGATGAGGAGGGTGAGGGAGGGGTAGGAGGGGGAGTGATGGGAGAGGTGGAGTGTGGTGCAGGAGAAGGGGGAGGAGGACCAGGACCAGGACCAGGAGCAGGAGTCTCTCGACTCGGAGCCTTGGGTCTCCCCCCCCGGCCGGCCTGCAGGCTCTGCCTTCCCTCCCGCGGCGCCATGGCCGACTACAACATCCCGGGCATCCCCGTCATCCAGCCGTGCCCCGGCCCCGCTCTCCGAGGAAGGAAAGTAGGGGGCCACATGCGAACCCTACCCCTAGCCCCCACGATTTCTGAGGGGGAGGGTGGGGTTCACTTCGCTCGGGAGCTCCCGCACGAAGTGAACCCCACCCTCCCCCTCAGAAATCGCGGGGGGTAGGGGTAGGGTTCGCATGTGGCCCCCCAGAAGAACAGCATGAACGGAAACTGTCGGCGCTCTGCGCGAAAGGCCTCCCCGGCGGCGCCCCGGATCCGCGGCGGGGCCCCCCTTGGCGGCGCCGGAGGGCTCCGCGCGCGCCAGGGCGGGGGGGGTCAAGCCCAGATCCAAGAAGCCCGCGCGGAGCGTCAACAGATAAACATGATGCAACACTTGTGGCCTTTAGTTGCTGGTTGCTTCCGTGTGAGGGGGCCGAACGGTCTTTCTCTGTTTCCGCAACTGCGGGGTGCTTCCTTTCTGGCTTTTGATTAGCTGTGCAACCCACTAGGCGGCCCTGCGTGGGATCTTCTGACTGCCTACGCGCAGGTAGCAACAGTCTGCATGCTCATGCCGTTGCTTCTCTTCCCCCAGCTCTCGACGAGGGCCGAGCAAGCAGGGGGGGTCGGCGTGGGGGAGGTGGCGCCGGGGCCGTGCCCGCCCAGGAGGGACGAGGCGGAGCAGGGGGGGGGGGGGGCAAGGCAGGGGCAGCGTTTTCGTTGCGGTGGTACGCTCAGGGGCCTCCTCCAAAGGAGCGGAACGAAAGTGGGAAGGCAGGGCCAACGTTAGGCTCGGGGGAGCGTAAGACCCGGGTTTGCCAGGACTCGGGTTCGCCATCGTTTTTTGACGACCGCGCCTCGGATTTTGACGAGGAGGAGTTTCGTGGGATGTCTGCAGCGGGAGGCCTCGTCAAAATGCAGGCTCGGCCTCGTCATTTTTTTGACGACCTCGTCGGGGATTTCCGAGTCCACTGTACCCAGGTCTTACGTCCCCCTGATAGGCGGCGACACGCTCAGGGGGGGGCGCATCGACCTCCCGTCGCTCACTGATCGCTAGTGGGGGCGTGAAACAGTCAGGCCTTATAGTGAGGATGGGCAACCTTCCCAAGGCTACACCTGCATTCTTGCCCCTTCGGCCCCATCCTCGGCGACTCTCGCTGGCCATCCTATTTTGAGAAACGTTCACGGGGCCCTCCAAGGCCCTTGCTTCCATTCCGCGCATCCTTGGTGATACGGGTCGACTGTGGCCCACCCCGTCCAGGGCCGTGCAGTGTCGCCACAGAGAGCCGATCGACGAGCCCTCGGCGATGCATCGCCGATTCCAGGTCGACGTCCTCCACCCGGAGCTGGTCCCCAGAAGCGTTGCCCCTCGGCAAGGGGGGGGAGGGAAGGAGAGGTGTGACGGAGGGGAGGCAGGAAGGGCGGGAGAGGGGTCGGGAGGTCCCGAGAGCTGGAGAGACCCAGACCCCCGGCGGCGTGATTTTTTTTCTCCGGACGTGGGCCCAGAAGGTCCGGACCCCTTTCCGGGGGACCTGTTCTTCGTCCTGGCCTGTCTTCTGACGTGCCCGAGACCCGGTGAGAACCCCAGCTTCGGGTCGGGCGAAAGGGGGGGATTGGGAAAGGGGGGGTTACGAAATTTGCTGCATGCAGCTGGTTTCGGCCTCACCGAGGGGCCCATTCCTCGATACATGGCCGCCTCCGGCGCCGGGAGGCGCCGGGAAAATCAGCTCCGTGAGCTGATTCTCAATCCCCCCCTTTGCTATCCCCCCCTTTTGCCCGACCCGACAGCTGCAAGCTCATTCCGCCGTCCTTGGGTTCGCGGCGCGAGGAAGGAGGGAAGGCACACAGCTTCCGCTTCAGGACCACAGTGACAAGGCTGATCAGCAGGTCGAGCCTGTCAGATCAAAGGGCACCCGTGCGTCTGGCTCACAGCGTCCGCTTCAGGCCTGCATCAGGCCGTGTGGCCGCTCTGTCGCCGCCTTTGCTTGGGATTGGCGCGTCCCCCGCGGACCCGCCCTCGGGGTGAGGGTGCCTCCGCCGGACGTTCAAATCCAAGCAAGCGAGCGATTTAGCTGGGATGGGTGATATGGAAGGAGAAGCGGGGAGAGGACGAGGGACAGCGCGAGAGAAAAGAGAACGCACACCCACACGCGCACGCACACACTCTCTCTCACACACACACACGCGCGCGCACTCGCACTCGCACTCGCACTCGCACACGCACACGCACACGCATACACGCACGCGCACTGGCACACGCACACGCACACGCACACTCACACACGCACACACGCACAACACGCACACGCACACGCACACGCGCACACGCACACGCGCACACAAGCACGCACACACGCACACACGCACACACGCACACGCGCACGCACCCACACACGCACACACGCACACACGCACAAAAGCACACAAGCACACAAGCACACAAGCACACAAGCACACAAGCACACACGCACACACGCACACACGCACACACACACACACCAAACGCAGCAAAGGGGGCAATAGCAACATATACAGAGATGAAAGCTCAGCTTTCTACTTCATGGTTGCTTTCAACATCTTGCGTGCAGCCGCCACGTTGCGCACGCCCTTGCCGCGCCGGGGCCTGCCAGCATACACGGAGTTGCCACTGACCGTCTCAAGAAATGCAAACATCATTGCTTTGAGTTGCTGCCCCTTCGGGCCAGATGACATCTCGATTTCGGTGCCCGTGGCGGATTCGTAGCACTCCCAGCAAATTTACGTTGTGATGACGTCGCGGAATGCGTTTGGCTCAGTGAGGCTGGCCGCCGCTTCCATCGAGAGAGTGCGGGACGGCTCGTCTGGATGATTTTTTGTCATCTGCAATGTCAGCCCTTTTGCGGTCGCGGAGCGGGGATGCCAGGGGAGGCCTGAGCAGGGAGGGTGGGACCACGACGACGAAGACGGCGGCGACGACGACTTCGTCGACGATGACGACGACGGCAACGACGACGGTGGGCCAAAGCTGAGTGGAGGGCGAGGGGAGGGGTGGGACTGTAGACTCCTATTATAAACAACGGTAGCTGCAGTATGCACAGGCACTGCGGTGTGCATCGGCGACGTGGTGTTGCAGTGCACGCGGCTGTTGTGGTGTACGGAGGCACTATAATGCGTACACATTCGGCGCTGTGTTGCACGCGGGTATTGGGCATTGTCGTATACACAGGCGATTGATGCGCCAGTGGCGCGGACGCACCTTGGCGGGCACTCGCCGCGGCCGCTGTTACCGTTACCCTCCCGCCCGACCCCCCTTGGGTAATGGCCGTTACCCTGGAAAGGAAAAGAGTCACCAATGTGGGCCATAGTTGGCTTGACCTAGGTTTAATGAAAAACAGGTGCCCCACGCGGCTTGCAGGGGGGGGTCGATGACTGTCTGAGTGGGCGGTGGGCGGAGCCCACTTAGCCAGGATCGGTACCCCCCCTAACGGCACTTGGGGCATTCGTAACCTTTATCAGAGTGAGGGTGTCGAACCGTCGTTCATTGGGTGCGTGGCTGAAGAAGGCTTCCACGGTGCGTATTGTTGATGGTGTTGTTTGTTAGTTGTTGTTTGTTGTCGTCGTCCCGCCCGCGAGGCCCGCGACCCACCCGCGACCCACCTGCGACCCACCCCGCGACCTTCCCGCGACCCACCCGCGACCAACGGCGCGACCCTCCCGCGACCCACGGCGCGACCCGCCCGCGACCCACCCGCGACCAACGGCACGACTCGCCCGCGACCCACCCGCGTCCCGCCCGCGACCCACCCGCGACCCACCCGCGACCCACCCGCGACCCACCCGCGACCACCCCGCGACCCACCCGCGATTCTCTCACGATTGCATAACCTGGGTCAGGCCAGATAAAACCCATTTGGGCCTTCTACGATAATCGGGGGCGGAAAAGAGGGGGGTGATGACTAGGGGGGGGGGGGATATCATGGCGTGGGCCATGATATTTCCCCAGATTTCATGGCGCCTCTTCTTGTTTCACTACGTCCCTGGCCCCCCCCTGGGCCGCGCACATGCCGCCGGCCATGATTTGCACCCGCCCCTCTTGGGCCCTCGGCCTCGAGGCGGCCGCCAGGCTCCGAGGACGGCGCGCAGCGGTGCGGTGTGTCTTTGGCGCGCCGCCAGGGGTCCAGGGAGGAGGAGGAGGGAGGAGGGAGGAGGGAGGAGGGAGGAGGGAGGAGGAGGAGGAGGAGGAGGAGGAGGAGGAGGAGGAGGGCCCTGAGATCGTGGCGTCTCGATGTTCTCGAGCCGGGCGTCGCCTGGTTCCGGGCCCCGCAAGATGGAGTGTTGGGCTCTGGCTGTTGTTGCTCGGTGCGTCGGGGTTCGGAGGGACGAGAAGGAGGAGGATGGAGGGAGAGGAGGAGGAGGCGGTGGAGGCGGAGGAGGAAGAGGAGAAGGAGGAAGGACGAGGAGGAGGAAAAATAGCTGCACCAGCGAAGAGGCTGCGACTAGGGTCGAGCAGGGAAGTAGGAGGAGGGGGCGGAGGAGATAGAGGAGGAGGTGAAAGTGGATGAGGGGAGGAGGAGGAGGAGGAGGAGGAGGAGGAGGAGGAGGAGGAGGAGGAGAAGGAGGAGGAGTGAAAGTGGATGAGGAGGTGAAAGTGGAAGAGGATTACATTGAGTTCTGCAGGCGATGTGCATAGCATCCACGGCTGCCAACAGTCGAGCCCTGTTTGGGGCACGTGGCAATGCGAGTCGCGCACAGCCCGTACTCGACTTCCGTCCGTCCGTCCGAAGGGGAGGAGGAGGAGGAGGAGGAGGAGGTGGAGGAGGAGGAGAATTGGGAGGAGGAGGCCGAGGAGGAGGAGGACGAGGGAGGGTGGTGTCGGCGGAGGCAGACGAGGGAGGGGGGAGGCGGAGGAGGCGATGAGCAGGGGGAACAGGAGGAGGTGGAGGAGGGTGAAGGGGCAGGAAGAGGCAGCAGGCTGGGGAGGGGAAGTCGGAGGAGTAGAGGGGGGCCGGACGGGAGGGAGGGAGGGGATGCGGCGAGGGGGAGGGAGGAGTTTCCAGCTGGCCGCGCCCACCGCCCCGCTGGCGGCGGCGGCTCCCGCGAGGTACGAGGGCCCGGGCCCACGGAGAGGTCCCGCAGGGGGGGGGGGGGCGCGGCCTTGCTCGTGAAGACAGGAGTCGGCCAGAGCGTTGATGGTGCGGCTGTCCGCTTCCGGCCGCGGGTCTCATTCGGGAGGCAGGGGCGATGACGGTCCCGCGGCAGGGTTGCTTGTCGCTGCCCCAGCGCGAGGTGGACGACGATCAGGCGTGTGTGATGTCGCCTTCTCGCCTCGTCTTCCCTCTTCTTCAAGACAGCGCAGGGAAAACCAAAACGCGTTGGTTTGGCAATCTCGTGCATCGTTGTCGTGTTCTCTTCGTTCCCTGTTGTTCCTTGCCTGGCCTGCATGGCTTCTTTCGGCCCGCCCATTGTGGTCCGAATCAGAGTTGCGCAGCCAGGGCTGGACGCCCTTTGCATTGTTGTGTCCAGATACGGACCACATCCCGACTGGCGTTTTGTGCCCCACATCATTGTTTCGTGCCGTTGTCATTAATCACGCGTTCAGGTTCACGCCACAGCGGTGTTTTGGAGGCATCGGTCGGACCGTTTTCGTTCTGAAACGCCACAGGGCGCTGTTTTGGTCGGCCCCTGCGTGAACATGCATGGCTCGATCGAGCGTCGTTCCGCTCAGCGCTCAAGGATATCTGCTGCCCCTCGGCGGCGCGCTCAAGTGGGAAAGCGAGAGAGCGAAGGCCTTCTCAGGAGGCAGCCGGGCTTCGGAGAAGGCATAGGAACCTTTCAAAGAAGGCGGGGGGCCTTCTGTGGGTCTGAGCAGGCACGCCTCCTCTGCCTTCCCTCCCTGGTGCGCCGCCGACGATCGTAAAGATGCGCGACTCGATCGAGCGTCCTGACTTCGAGGGTTGGTCGACTTCTTTTGCGCCTCCGATCGCGCCCGAACTTCCACCATGTGGGTTTGATATAATCGGATGTCTCCAGATGTGCCTCGATTCCATCGTAGAACGGTGCAGCGATGGGCGAACACGGTGTCTCACCATCCCACGACGCGCTGGACCCGGAGGGTGCTCGAGCGGAGCCCGGATCTCAACACACGCCGGCGCGGGCGACGGCAGCATGGGGGACAGCCCAAGCGGCGGGACGACGACCTCCGCAGCTCCCTGCACGGTCTGGGCAGCGAGGCCGTAGAGATACAGAACAGGGCAGCCACCCGACCACGACCATCCGAGCACAACAACCCGAACGACCTGCGATGGATCCGGGCCGCTTGCTGCACAGAGTGGTGGGCATCCTGTGAGCCGGCATGCGTTTCACAAACCTGAATAGTTTGGTGATCTTCTTTGTCGAGGCCACGGCCTCCACGCCATGCCCTAATGGGCACGGGTGGGCTCCACGGAGGAGCGCGCACGACTCTGGCGTTCGCTTCGCTTCGTTTCGCTTCGCTTCTTGGTTTCGATTTGCATCGGTGCATCTGCCTGGACCTTCGCAAAAAATGTGGTTGGGATCGTTGCCACCACTTGTTGTCCCCTCTGCTGCTTCTGATCCTCTTCCGCCTCAACAGGTAGGTGGTCGCACCCCCGCATCCGATTGATTGGATCAGCACACCCAAGATTATTGCGGCTTGGATGAACTCGAGCGGGTTAATTCAGATGAGCAGGGGGATATCCGATGAAGACGTTCGGATAGTTGTTTGCGCGATCCTGCGTAGAGGCGCAGGCATAACGTGCAGCTGGGATACCGTCGCTGCATTTTCTCCTCATCGTCCCTCCCTCCCCCGTCACGAAGGTCTATCTAGTTTAGAGTGGTTCCACCTTCATGAGGAAGAGGAGAAGAAAGAAGGATGAGACGTTGGAGTTTGTTCAGTTTGGGGGAATAGGTTGTAGGGTAGTTCACTGGAATCCTTGAGGTTCGCTGGATTACAGGAGGACTTGCGGAGTTGCTGGACCACTCCCCCTGACTCTTCTCCCCCCCGCCGCCACCCCCACCCACCGCTTCCCCTCACCCTTCCACCAGGGTTCCGCTTCCTCTCTCCCCCCTCCTCTTTCCCAGTCTCCCTTCTCCCCCTCCTCCTCCCCCCCGTCCCCCCTCCTCGTCCCTTTCCTTTTTCCCCGTTCCTCCTCCCCCCACCCCCCCTCGTCCCTTGCCTCCCTCCCCCCCGTGGCCGTTCCAGGTCAGCTGCCAGGCGACATGGAGCCCTCCACGCCCGTGGAGCGGTACATGGCGCGCCGCCCACGGCCCCCTCGAGGGTTGCGCGCGCGAGTGCTGCCACCTGGGGTTTCTGTCCAAGGCCAGGGCGGGAGGGGGAGGAGGAGGAGGAGGAGGAGGAGGAGGAGGAGGAGGAGGAGGAGGAGGAGGAGGAGGAGGAGCACAGGAAGAAGAGGAGGAGGAGTAGGAGGAGGAGGAGGAGGAGGACCAGCAAAAGCAGGAGGACCAAGATGAGGAGGCGAAGGAATAGGAGAAGGAAGGTTAGTGCAAGGCTAGAGGGCTGCTGGTGGGTGGGTCCTGCGGAGTGAGGCACCGCGCGGATCTGAGCGGGACCTCGCAGTCCCGGGGGGGTGTGATTTGCGAAATTGTCGCCACTTTCGAGGGCTGCTGGTGGGTCCTGTGCGGAATGAGGCACCGCGCGGGATCTGAGCGGGACCTCGCCGTTGCTGTGGGCCTCCGTTCTGCGAAACTGTCGCCACTTTCGAGGGCTGCTGGTGGGTCCTGCGGAGTGAGGCACCGCGCGGACCTGAGCGGGACCTCTCCGTCCTTGGGGGGCTGCGATATGCGAAATTGTCGCCACTTTCGAGGGTTGCTCGTGGGTCCTGCGGAGTGAGGCACCGCGCGGATCTGAGCGGGACCTCGCCGTCCCTGGGGGGCTGCGATCTGCGAAATTGTCGCCTTTTTCGAGGGCTGCTGGTGGGTCCTGCGGAGTGAGGCACCGCGCGGACCTGAGCGGGACATCGCCGTCCCTGGGGGCCGCGATCTGCGAAACTGTCGCCACGTTCAAGGGCTGCTGGTGGGTCATGCGAAGTGAGGCACCGCGCGGATCTGAGCGGGACCTCGCCGTCCCTGGGGGGCTGCGATCTGCGAAACTGTCGCCACTTTCGAGGGCTGCTGGTGGGTCCTGCGGAGTGAGGCACCGCGCGGACTGAGCGGGACCTCGCCGTCCCTGGGGGCTGCGAACTATGCGAAATGTCGCCACTTCGAGGGCTGCTGGTGGCGTCTGCGGAGTGAGGCAGCCGCGCGGATATGGGCGGGAGATCGCCGTCCCTGGGGGGCTGCGATCTGCGAAACTGTCGACACTTTCGAGGGCTGCTGGTTGGCCTGCGGAGATGGGCACCGCGCCGGATCTGAGCGCGACCTCGCCGTCCTTGGGGGAGCGTTTGCGCTTTGTCTTTTGTTCCCTTCATTCTTCTTATTTTGTTTTGTCTTTCGCTTTTTGTCTTGCGATCTGCGAAATTGTCGCCACTTTCGAGGGCTGTTGGTGGGTCCAGCGGAGCGAGGCACCAGGCAGATCTGAGCGGGACATCGCAATCCTTGGGGGGCTGCGAGCCTCACGAATGCCGCTCGCAGAAGTATATGCGCCCATGTCACATCATCACCTCCGTAGAACGTTTCCCAAGCTACTCATGCCCCGCATTGCGCAGGGGTTGGGTGCCTCGCCAGGGTAATTCTTCGCTCTCCTGAAGAAGGCCTTCTGTGAAGGCGGCGGGCCTTCTCAGAAGGCCTCCCGGCCTTCTGAGAGGTTCTTTGCGTCTTCGGGGAAGGCCCAGAAAACTCGTCCGAAGGCCAGGGGACTTCCGGGCTTCAGAAGGCCCGCCCCCCGTGGGACGCCTGGTAGTTTTTGGGTCATCACTCGGCTCTCCCGAGGCCGTCTGGGACGATCCAGGCGCCCCTGGGACGCCCTCGGCGAGGCGCAGCCGCTGGAACGCACCCCGAGGCAGAAAAACAAGCGAGAACCGAGAGGAGGGAAGAGGAGAGGAGGGGGGAGGAGAGGAGGCGGGAGGAGGAGAGGAGGGAGGAGGAGAGGAGGGAGGAGGAGAGGAGGAGAGGAGGGAGGGGATAGGCGGGAGGCGGAGAGAGGAGAGGAGGGGGAGGAGACGAGCGGGAGGAGGAGGAGGAGGAGGAGGAGGAGGGAGGAGGAGGGGAAGGACGAGAGGCGCGAGGGGAGCCCCCCCCCCCCCCGGCGCGCGCCGCCGAGAGGAGGGCGGAGGAGCGGAGGCGCGAGGGAGGCGGGGCGACGACCGCGGCCGACGGCGCCGCCGGCAGCCCGCGGCGGCCCGGAGCCGCGCCCGCGCCCCCCCCCCTGCGGCGGGCGTCGGCGGGCGGCGCGCGCGCCCCGCGGGATGCCCGCCACAGCTCGGCGGGCGCAGCGGGGGTGGGCAGCCCCGGGGCTCGAGGCGGAGGCTGGTGAGGTTCGAGGAAGGCGATGATCGATGATCGGGGAGGTGGAGGAGGAGGAGGAGGAGGAGGAGGAGGAGGAGGAGGAGGAGGAGGAAAGGGAGGAGGAAAGGGAGGCGGAGGAGGAGGCGGAGGAGGAAAGGGAGGAGGACAGGGAGGCCGAAAGGGAGGAGGAAAGGGGTTCCAGGCCTTCTAGGTTCGGGGGTGGACAGACCTCCTACCCTGACACGTCGAATAGCGAATTGGCCGTTTTCGGTTCGCGAGAGGGCGTCGCGGCCGTCATTTTTGCGGGTCCAGGTCCGTCCGTTTCGGTCTTAGGCCGTTTTCACGAAAGGGTGGCTTACTCGAGGGAGGTTTGTCCACCGCCGAGAGTTACCAGGTGTTGTTCTATGTCGGGCTTGTCCCTCTACAGGGTGGATGTGTTTGGCTAGACCATTTGGGGGCATGTTTGGCGTATCTTTTCTTCCTCCACTCGGCGTGGGCAGAGGGGGCGGGCAGAGAGTCCAGGTGTTCGAAGGTTCTCGCTGGTTCGTAATGGTTTTGAAGCCGTTTTAATCCCCTGGCGAAATTGGGCGTGACCAGGGAGGCGGGGGACGAGGGGAAGGGGCTGGTCACATCGCGATTCGCGCTGGCACGAATCGCGACCTGGGCGTGAATCGCGACGTGACCAGGGGAGGAGGGGGGTTCGGGGCTGGTCTCCAGCGTTGTCGCGAATAATGCAAGGTTTTTCAGAGGTTTTCGCTGGTTTCTTTAGGTTTTCAGAGGTTCTCGCTGGTTTCTTTAGGTTTTCCCACCTCGGGATGCTACCCACCAGCTGCGCCTCGGCGAGGGCGTTCGGGGTGTGCCAGGGTCGTCCAGATCGGCAGCCGTGGACTTGAGTTATGACCCGAAAACCGACTGGGAGCGGCGCGGGGTCGCTAAGGGGATAGGGGTTGCCAGTAAGGGGACCGCGGGATGCCCGCCACAGCTCGGCGGGGGCAGATGGGGGTGGGCAGTCCGGGGGGGCACCCCCAGATCTTGCCATCGTCGTTTTCGGCCCCCTGTGGGCTCTCGCCAGGCCCCTGGAACTTCAAAACACCATTCAGGACGAAGACCAGGTTCTGAGGAAAGCGCCGGGGCTTCCGCGGAGCCCGCATTGAGCAAAAAGTAAAGACTTCCGATGTCTGGGTCCCAGGGGCAGGCAGACACCAGCGGATTGTTTCTGTTTCATCCCTCCGCGTTTCAGAATTGTCAGCCCTCAGGGGCCGTTCCTGCTGACATCATGAGTGGACCCAGGATGAGGGAGGAGGAGGAGGAGGAGGAGGACCAGGAGGAGGAGGAGGAGGAGTGGGAGGCAGAGTAGAGTAGGGGAGGAGGAATAGGATGAGTGTGAGGTTAGAGGAGGAGGCAACACTAAGAGGAGAGGGATGGGGAGGATATGTAGGAGTTGCGGAAGGAGGAAGAGGACCAAGAGGAGGAGCATAGGAGGTAAGGGGGATGAGGGAGGAGGAAGGAGTAGGAGGAGTACGAGGGAGGAGGAGGAGGTATTAGGAAAGAAGTAGGATGAGGAGGAGAAGGGGGGAGATAAGGAGATGAGGAGGAGGAGGGAGGAGGAGGATGGGGAGGAGGATGAGGAGTGGGGGGAGGAGGAGTAGTAGGAGTAGGAGGGGATTAGGAGGATGAGGAGGGGGGGGAGGTGTATTAGTACTAGGAGGAGGTAGAGGAGGAGGAGAAGGACTACCGGTATTACAGCCATCGATTAGCGATATCACATACCACGAGGAGGAGGAGGAGGAGGAGGAGGAGGAGGAGGAGGAGGAGGGGAGGCGTTTTCTGATTTGTCAGCCCCCAGGGACCGTTCCTGGTGACATCATGAGTGGAACTGGGATGGAAAACTGCCTCCGCAGTGGCGGTCGGGAGATTTCTGGCCGCTGATTGGGAGAACACGCCGTTTCGGGTGTCTGGGCTGTGGGCGTTCGCTCGCCGGGGCGGGCGTCATACGTACAGGGAAGCGATGCGAAGTGGACGTGCCCAACCCGTCCATTATTTCCAGGTGTTCCAGCCCTCGCGGCCTCGTCCCGACCGATTCGGGCTCGTTTCAGCCCCTGCCAGTTTGTTCTACTCTCATGGAGTTGCCCACTTCCTCCGTTGCCAACTTCTTTATCTGTGCGTTTGCCTGGGAGCCTTGGATCGTAGCCCTTGGCGTCGAGGATCGAGGAGGAGGAGGAGGAGGAGGAGGAGGAGGAGGAGGAGGAGGAGGAGGAGGAGGAGGAAGGGGAGGTTCGAGAATCCAGGATGGGAATCGCCAAGGGAGATAAGGAGGAGGAGGAGCAGGATGAGGATACAGTGGAAATCCATGCCAAGAAACACCCTGCTCGCCTCCAGGTTGCCCCGGGTTTCTTGGGCTTCGACGGTTTTGCTATGGAAAGCGTGACGTCCCCACAGCAAAAACCAATGGATGTCCTGGGGTCTCAGGGTTGGGCTTCTTGCGGAAGATTTCGTGTGATCGAGCTTCTGTTGTAATCTTGAGTGGAGGAGGTACAGGAGGAGGAGGAGGAAAAGGAGGAGGAGGAGGAGGTGGAAGAGAAGGAGGAGGAGGCGGGTCGAGAATCGAGGTTCGAGGTTCAAGGTTCGAGAATGGAGGAGGAGGAGGAGGAGGAGGATCGAGCCGGATCGAGCAGGAGGAGGACCCCCCTTGCTGCCCCCGCCCCCCGGGCTGTGCCGCCCTCGCTGCGCATCCCGCCGAG